AAATCATCTGCTTCAAAGATTTATTATTTTTATAATAAACTAAAACGTTTAATAACACTCCTTGGCTAATAATGAAAATAAATTAAGTAATTAATAATAATTTCTCATGGAAACGTTTTTTTTTGTACTTACAAAAATGAAAAAGAAAACTACCGCTTTAATGCACAAGAATTTTGGTATAGGTTTCATGGGTTTTAAATCCTCCTGTTAAGAAAATTATTTTTTTAATTGTAGGTTTTAAATATTTGTTTATTTAATATCCTACCTTGTTGGCTTTATAAAACAAAACGAGACAATACATGGCTACGAATTGTGAGATATTGTTGATAACAACTATATAGGGAAATGCTACATTTCCGGCAAAAGTACCTTCTCCATAGACACCGCATAATTCGCAAATACTAAAAATACATTTTTTTTAAAGTTTTATTAATTATTTTTTTATTTGATTATAAAGCCACCTGAAGATTAAATAGTACAAAAACTTAAAAGGCGAATTTCATAAATAACATTTTCTTTATTTGGAAGGAAAGATCATCTACATGAGGAAACTCGGTTATTTTAGGTGAGACAACATAATGACTTGCTTGTCTAAACAGTTCCAATTGGCATGTCATCTACCAAATTACCTCAACTATCAGAGAGAAGATCCACTTCCCTGAAACTTCCTCTCTCAATCTCAATCCCCCTTTTCCTAATCTTAAATTGTTTACATCCTGTTTTGGATTATCTAATACTAACTTTTGAAGGTAATCACAATGAAAACCATGAGTCTCCGAGTGGGAGTATATCTCATAGTACACACCCCTTGTAAACTAATATCAATTTCAATATAATCATTATTTAAAAATACCTTCCTAACATGGTACGCAGTTTCGAGTAAAATGAAATTTTAAAAAATCTTACAAACGATGGAAATTACTAACTAATCGAATAATTGTATGTATATTAATCGTCAATACTCGGTATCTCGTACATATGTTTGTTAAAAAGCAAAGAATTTGATGACCACTTAAGGAAAATAGCTAAACGTTAGACAATGTTACGACAAACAATAAAATCAATTGAACAATATATGAAATATATTTGAATGTAGAAAAAAAATTAATAATAGATACGCAATACATGCAAAACGTACATAAATATTATCATTAATTGAACTTGAAAATTGCAAAAATACTTACACCGCTATGAATGTAGTTATTGGCCGCACCACAGTATATTGTAAAATACCATGTTTACAATTATGTATAAATTCTCGACCCATGGTCCAGGGACGAATGCAACACATAGGAAAGAAATGATGTACTTGGGATCTATACATCATGGTCGCTTCCAAATCCATGCCCAAATTTAAATAATTTAATAAATAGACCATAAAATTATAAATCACATAGGCCTCATAGCACTCACGTAACGAATCGGCATAGATTGAATGTTTCGGAAAGAATAAACCAATCCACTGAAAAATATTTAAATATAAAATCCTGGAATAAGCTGTTGGTGTACTTAGGGAGTACTTACAGCATTTAAGGCATATATGGGCACCATCCACAATATGCGTATGATGTGTTTTTGTAAAATGGGTTTTGTAAAGTGTACAACATGCTGAATAATATGCCAAATTGATATGGGCACTGCTGATAAAACAAATAAGCCACCAATTAATATCAATTGATCACGACGCTGAAAACCATCCTTGACGGAATTGATAATGAGCAGAGGCACTACGATTATCGCAAATATGCCATAGGTTATAATAAGTAAAGGTCGTATCCAGATACGCCACTCCTCGCAGAATCTTCGCAATGAATAATTCTGACACATATTCTATTCTATTCAAGTTTCGAATTGATGTTTGTTTTCCTCTCTGCTCAGCTCTGCTACGGCTGTTGCTGCTGCCGCTACTGCTGTGTGTATTTGTTTCCTTTGTTGTTGTTGTTTTTCTGCCAAAGCGATTGTATTACTTTTAACTAAAAAAAACCTTTATCTCTTGCGAAAATGTATTAACAAAAAAAAAAAAAAAGTTTGTGTGAAAACTAGTAATTTATAATTTTCAGAGTTTTTAATCTGTATTTGATTGAATGTGCTAAATGTTTCTTTTTTATTTTGTTGGTGGTATTTTAATTGGTGTTAAATTTCTAATTGGTTGGCACAGTATTTGTTGTTGTTTTCTTCTTTTTTTTTTCTTCCTCTATTTTGCTTCATACACTGATTTTTTCTCGGTGGCACTTTTTTTATACTAATCAATTTTTTCTCTGGCACTTTTATTACACAAATACCGAATGTAATACATTTTTATGATATTTTCTTTAACTTCTCCAACTTTAGAACGTTTTAATTAAATTTTCAAATTTTTCTACACAAAATAAACAATAATTTTCTTTGTTGTTTAGTTGAAAATATCAAATATTTTTCGCGAGAATAGCGGAATATGAAAAAGTTTTACTTTCGTTCAGATTTGTTATGAGCTGTCCATAGAGTATGGTTGCCAATGTAACGGAAATTAGAAAATTACCAAAATACTATTTAAAGGCCTTTAATGCAATGAAAATTTAATGAAAAATTAAGAAATTTAGGATTTTGTATCTGCAAGAAATCGAAATTAAAAAGTAAAAATTTATCCTTTTACTTAAATGTTATAAAATTTAAAAGAATGCATTCATTCTCTTTAATATCGTACCAAATTCATTACACAAAATATTAAATTATATATCGCCGCATAGACGGCTTGGTAACACTGTAAAAGGAAAACTTAACGATAAAATATCATTGTTGCTTATAATAGTATTAATTATAAACTACTACCTTTAAAAAACAAGACAGATTCAAATATATGTACAAAATACGAAAGTATAAATAAATATTTAAATCTAGTTCTAATCAGAATTTAAAGTTCTTCTAGTGCCTCTAGTACAGACAACAATTTCATTCTGCTAGGTTTACAATCAAAAATAAATTAAAATACGAGATGGTTTGGATATTTAGGTTTATATATTGGTTATACTTTGTGCATTGGTCCTCTATTTTAGATAAATATTAATATTTGTTTAATTCATACTTTTAATAAATTTAGAAATGTTATCTTTGGTGCATTTTATCGATAATTTAATGATTAATTTTCTGTTGACATTCTCACTGAATATACCCCGATTGTAAACAAACAAGACGAAGGCAAATTCATGCAGGATGACGACATATACATAAACAGCAGATAATTGTTTACAAAAGTCTATGACGGCTGTCAAACTCCACCTACGGCTGGACTTCACCTTGTGTGGATTCGCCTGACAATCAGCTGTTGGATTTTAATTTCCCCATTCTTTCAATTCTTTCAGTGTTTAGGGAATAAATAATTAATAGAAAAAATATGAATTTATCTATGAAAAACATTACAAAACCTTTACAATTAATGGTGTTTAAACAGTTAAAGCGAAATACTAGCAAAATCGCGGTAGAAGTTGACGAAAATGTATTGCGTAAAATAGAAAATGATGAAGTAAAAGCTAGGCAGCATCCCGGAGTTATGAAATTTAATCGCACGCTCTTGCCGGCTAATATCGAGAAAGCTCTGCAAAAGGTAGTGGGTGACTTTCCCATAAAAACTCTTATGGAGGACGGTAAGAAATTAAACCAATTCATAGCATCCCGTCATCCACCAGCAGAAGCAGAGGAAATTAATGTAAAAGTGAAAAAGATTATGGAGGAGATAGAAACTATAATGCCGCTAGAACAAATGGGAAATCTCAGCGAACAGGAACGTAAACAATGGGAACAGCGAAGAGAACAATTATTGCAAAGACGTTTAAGGGAACGAACATTTGCCTGGAAACCGGTACAGTATGGAGAATATGAAGCACTGGTGTATGCAGTGGCCAGAGGGGCACATGAGTATGGTGTCTTAATGCGCATATTACAGGAAATCAAGACACGTGATTCGGAATTTAAGCCACAAAGTTATTTTGATTTTGGTTCGGGTGTGGGCACCGGTATGTGGGCCAGTAGTAGCCTATGGAAAGATTCCATATTCGAATATTTCAATGTTGACAGTTCCAGGCATATGAATGAATTATCCGAATTAATTTTAAGGGATGGCAATGAAAATCAACAAATGACTTTGAAAAATGTTTTCTATCGTCAGTTTTTGCCCGGATTAGAAGTAAGTAAAGTTTGTAGGCTTTTTAATAAAGAATTTAATGTTTTTATTTTATTCTTTTGCAGACCAAGTATGATTTAGTTATATGCTCCCATTCCTTGTTCGAATTAGCCAGCTCAGAAAACCGTTTAAGTGTGATATTAAATTTGTGGAAGAAATGTGATGGTTATATGATTATAGTAGAAGAGGGCACAAGACGTGGTTCCCAATTGGTAAATGAGGCCAGAGATTTGGTTTTATCCTTTGAAGAGCATAGTTTAGTGGGTCATGTTTTTGCACCGGTAAGTAGAAAATTCCTAAATAGTGAAACAAATATGTAAATGTTACTGTTTTAACTTCTAGTGTCCACACGACAACATTTGTCCGCGCCTTTCGAATCCGGAAGATCGTACTCCCTGTAATTTCGAAATTAATTTTGTGCCAACAAATTTAAACAAAAATAGCAAACGTACAGCAACAGCCAGATTTAGTTATGTGATACTTAAAAAAGGACTACCAGAAGATAGTACAAGAGCATGGCCGAGAATAGTACGTCCTACACTATTACGTTCGAAACATGCCATTTGCAGAATGTGCACGTCAGAGGGCAAATTACAAGAAATTATATTTACCGAATCTAAACATGGCAGGTTAGTGGAATTATTCTAGGAAATCATGTTCATTTAATAATATTTTTTAATATTACAGACCCGCCTATAGATGTGCCAAAGCTGGTCGTTGGGGTGATCGTTTGCCTATAACTATTGGTGAACCTTTCGAAACCATGACTAAGACAAAAGCTAAAACTGTAACTAATACAAATCCTGAGGACTGTGCCACAACAACCTTTTAAAGAAGAATAATAAGACTAAGTTAAAGTAGTTATAAGAATGTTGTTAATTAATATTTTGATCCTGTAAATAATAAAACTAAGAAATTTATTTTATTAAGAAATGATATATTTTTCTTCAAATTTAATTAGAATTTTTATTTAAAAATATGGACAATATCTGTATTAAAACTAAGAAACCATCATACATACTAATAAGCAGCCGTACATAAACTAATCATATGTATTTGTTCGCATGTATTCCTCATTCAAATGGTCAAAAACAAACTTAAAACTAAAAATTCTTAACATAAGAAAATATCTAATAATATATTAAATGTTTACTACTCAATTATAATGCAAAAATAATATGGCATCTATAAGATTGCCAGTTAACATGTAACGTTTTTTGACTGTCTAAAATTTGTTCTTTTATATTTTTCCTATAGTTCATATTAACCACACATGGCACACATTGATACTGATGGGCTAAATGTTTTAAAGAGCCATACATATGACCCATACGATTCCACCACAAAAAGGGCGATTCATCGAGGCTGCAGTAGACATCGGTGCGATAACGTTTCAAGTCGTTTCTACACTATTGGGCAAGGTCGTGACTGGCTGTTCCACTGGAGTTTCAGTTAAATCGAAAAATAATTCTAAATCTGTAGGAAAAGTAGAAATTTTATAAGTGTTTTGCTTTTTAACGATTGTGAAGTAAGTAAACATACTAGATTTTTTTACTGCATTATTGGTATTTGTAGATTTTACTCGATTTTGTGTGGATCTGGGTGAAGAAATACTTGGCGATATACCTTGTGATTCTGTAATCTTATCGTATTTGCTGGTTTAAATTTTAATGCAATATTTAAATTGTTGATGTTTATTAAACGATGAAATCTAGGATCTAATAATGCTGAAATGGTTAAGTGATTATCCGATAAGACCCTGAAAATAAAGAAGATGGCCAGTAGTGGTTATGATGATTAAAAACGTGCTTTAAAATGTTTGCCAATTGTTAACCCAGAGACCAAAGTGTGTAGTCCTTACTACAAGATTGATCTGAATCCGAGTTTTCGAGATATCGTGTCATAAAGATTGAAAAAACCCCATTTTTGGCATTAGTTGAGACGTTATATGACAGTGATACCCTTGTTTATAAAATTATTTTATGCTATCTGAAACTTTAAGTTAAGATATCTCGAAGAAGGAAGCAGATATAATAGAGATGAGAGCTTTATTTTAATGTCGGCAGATTAGACTTTCAGATGCCATTTATAAACGATGTTGCCTTTGGTCTGTTATAACATCTAAAATATTACCACAAAAGGGGGTTTTTGAATGCTTATGAAACAACATCTCGAATACCTAATGTAATGAGTAAATTCTGATGTCAGTTGTAGTCTTTGGCTTAAACATTTGTTGGCCTGTGTTTAACATTTAGCTTTAATACTTAAATACTCACAATTTATGAAGTGTATTACTGATGGTGTTTTTAATAATTTCCACAAATTGTCATCACTTTCATGTATGGCCAGCTTTTTCGTTAAAACCTTAGATGTAATCGGTGACAACATACTACTCAGTGGTATATCTTCACCCTTTAATGTATCCAAAGTCACCTAAAATCAAACCAATTTATATTAATAAATAAGCAATAAATAAAAAAATAGTTTTCGTTTTAATCCACTTACAGAAAGTGTACTTAGTATATCATAAAGACCTTTAGCCGAGGGCTACTAAAACTTCTAATTCCTCAGGCCAAAATAAAGTTTCCGCAAAAAACTTTAGTAACTCATAATAAGTCCATGGGAAGTCATCATTTAGGGGGGGAATTTCAACTTCCTAAAATTGACAAAA